AGGAAACACATGGGCAGGCCTCACACTATTCTACAGAGCCACTAAATGCTGAAAACATCTTCTAAGTTGTAAAGAAAATAATCACCTAACCAAATTACCATTCAGTTATAAACACAGACATATTTTTTTAATTTTATTTTTAAGTAATTCCACACCCAACATGGGGCTTGAACCTACAACCCCAAGATCAAGAGTCACACACTCTATCGACTGAGCCATCCAGTGCCCCTGTCTTAACAAATTCAGGAACATGATATCCATAGCTATAGTTTCTAGGTTTAAATATTTGAACTGTTTGAAGACAGAATGTGTAAATCTCAACAACTGTAGGACTTATGATTAGAGAACAGAACGTTAAGTGTTGTAAATATTATTATTATAAATGTCATTTGTAGTTGATAATGAACAATTACTAGTATAATGAATGGCAGTTGTGCGTCAGTTTCTTCATCTGTAAAATAGGGATAGTAAGAGTCCTTATATCTCATACAAGTGTTGTGAGGATTAAATGAACTACTTAATGTAAAGTGCTTTGAACAGCATCTAGCATTTAATAAGTACTGCATAAATATTATTGGTTAGTATTATTAGATCCTGAACAAAATAAATGAAATAGCTGAAGAAATAACATGAGTTTCCTTAATATTTTTCCACAGACTTCTTAATTTTGGAACAATCTTATAGAAGCTAATGTATTTTTCATGGTGAAGAAATACTTGTTTAAAGTGAAGAAGTCCTGGGCGCCTGGGTGGCTCAGTTGGTTAAGCGACTGCCTTCAGCTCAGGTCATGATCCTGGAGTCCCGGGATCGAGTCCCACATCGGGCTCCCTGCTTCTCCCTCTGAGGGAGTCTGCTTCTCCCTCTGACCCTCTTCCCTCTCATGCTTCCTATCTCTCATTCTCTCTCTCTCTCAAATAAATAAATAAAATCTTTAAAAAAAATAAAGTGAAGAAGTCCTAAAAAATAAAATAAAATAAATAAAGTGAAGAAGTCCTGGGATTGAGTCCTGCATTGGGCTCCCTGCTCAGTGGGGAGTCTGCTTCTCCCTCTGCCCCTCCCACCCACTTGTGCTCTCTTGCTATCTCTCTCTCTCAAATAAATAAATAAAATCTTAAAAAAAAATAAAGTGAATTTCTTCAGTTTCACTTCAATTTAAATTCTTCAGTAAAATTAAGGGGAATAATCTATTTTAAAAAAGTAGCTTATATAGTATGATTCCATTTCAATGAAAGCATATCTTTCAAAAAAAAAAAAGATTCCTCCATGCATCAACCATTGATCCATCATTCTATTTTTGCATAGACAGAGACTTGCCATAAGGTTCACCAATGTTAACAGTTAATTCTGGGTGACTGAATTTTGTTGATTTTATTTTTTCTGTTGTTTCAGCTTTTATTTATTTTTGAGAGAGAGAGAATCTTAAGAAGTCTCCATGTGATGTGGGGATTGATCTCACACGACCCTGAGATCATGACCTGAGCCGAAATCAAGAGTTGGTCGCTTAACCGACTGAACCACCCAGGGGGTCCCCCTTTTTAACTTTTAGTTTTGCAAAGCTTCCTAAATGATCTTTCCTTTAGTCTTCACTCTCCAAACCATCCCTCCTTGGTTATCAGAGGTATCTTTCTTTCTTTTTTTTAATTTTTAATTTAATTTTTTAAAGGATTTTATTTATTTATTTGACAGAGAGAGAGATAGCGAGAGGAGGAACATCAGCAGGGGGAGTGGGAGAGGGAGAAGCCGGCTTCCCACTGAGCAGGGAGCCCGATGCGGGGCTCGATCCCAGGACCCTGGGATCATGACACGAGCCGAAGGCAGACGCTTAACGACTGAGCCACCCAGGCGTCGCCCCCCACCTTTTTTAAAGATTTATTTATTTGAGAGAGAGAAAGAGAGAGAGCAAGCAGGGGGGAGGGGCAGAAGGCGAGAGAGAAACTCAAGCAGACTCCTCACTGAGCGAGGAGCCCAACATGGGGCTCGGTCCCATGACCCTGAGATCAGACTTGAGCTGAAACCAAGAGTCAGAAGCTTTAACTGACTGCATCACCCAGGCACCCCCAGGGGTATCTTTCTAAAACACAAGTTTCTTCCTTGAAATCCCAAATGGCTTCCTCTTACCTAAATAAGAAAGGTCAGACTCCTTAGCTTGGCACTGAGAACCTTCTCACCTCTTCAGCCTCTTCTTTCTTTGGCCTGTGATCTTGTGATTCCCATGCACTAACCTCGTTCCCTGACTATGCCTGGCTCTCCTTCCCTGGCACACAGCCTTGGCTATCTCTTCTACAGGGTTGCCCTTCCTGTCTACCTCCAGCATCCCGACCTCATCCGTCCAATCTCAATTCCTTCCCTAATGCTCTGTTCAAAGCCTCACTTGCCTCCCCAAGCAGTCAGCCTCTCTTTCTTCTCTGTTCCCTCCCCAGTACTTGGTATATACCATTATCAACATTTACCAGATTATAGTTTTAATATAAAATTAAAATGTGTTTTAATTTACATATTTAAATTATAATTAGTCATCTTGATGTCTGTTTCTGGCCCCCTACCCACTTCTTCTAATGAAGGAGCATCTCTATCTGATATCTCTATTCAACTTTCTTTTCTTTTATTTTTTAAAGGCAGGTCACCCGTGACGTGAGATGCTGCATTTTTTTAAAAGATTTTATTTATTTGCCAGAGAGAGAGAGAGAGAGCGCGCGCACAAGCAAGGGGAGCAGCAGGCAGAGGGAGAGGGAGAAGCAGCTCTTCTGCTGAGCAAGGAGCCTGATGCGGGGCTCCATCCCAGGATCCTGGGATCATGACCCAAACCACCGAAGACAGACACTCAAACGATTGAGCCATCCAGGTGTCCCTCCTTCCTTTCTTTTCTTTTCTTTCTTTCTTTTTTTTCTTCTCTCTCTCTCTTTCTTTCAGATTTTATTTATTTGAGAAAGAGAGCATAAACAGGGGAGGGGCAGAGGGAGAGGGAGAAGCAGACTCCCCACTGAGCAGGGAGCCCGATGCACAGGACTCCATCCCAGGACCCCGGGATCCTGACCTGAGCTGAAGGCAGATGCTTAACCAACTGAGCCACCGCTCCATGCCCAGGGGCCCCTCTCTATTCAACCTTAATCCTAGAATAGTACATAGTAGGTGCTAAGTGAATGTTGTTAGATAGGAGAATATTTTATTAGATTGAAGGAATTATATAACTTTTGGTAGAAAATGTATTATAGAACTTTTTTTAAAAAAATACTTTCTTTCTTTATTTGACAGAGAAAGAGACAGCGAGAGAGGGAACACAAGCAGGGGGAGTGGGAGAGGGAGAAGCAGGCTTCTTGCTGAGCAGGGGGCCCAATGCGGGGCTCGATCCCAGGACCCTGGGATCATGACCTGAGCTGAAGGCAGACGCTTAACGACTGAGCCACCCAGGCACCCCTATAGAACTTTTTTTAAAAGAAGATTTTATTTATTTATTTGAGAGAGAGCGCGCACGCTAGAGAGAGCATGAGCTAGGGGAGGGGCAGAGGGAGAAGCAGACTCCCTGCTGAGCAGGGACCCCCGATGGTGATGCGCGGATCAGGGATCAATGCCAGAACCCCAGGATCACAACCTGAGCTGAAGGCAGCCACTTAACCAACTGAGCCACCCAGATGCCCGAATTATAGAACTTTTTTAAAAAGGTGGTTTAAAAAAAAAAACTTTCAAGTACACAGACAAAAAAATGCAAACATTTCTAAGTAGAAGCCTGTTGTAATAAATGGAGATAATTTGCAAACTAATGTCCTTAAAAATAGTTTGTTTCTCATTTGAGTAGAGTATGCATGCTTTCTAAAATTTGTTTTATATTAGTATTTTCTCTAATATAACTTAGGCTTACAAATTATTTTTTTTAAAGATTTTATTTATTTATTTGAGACAGAGAGAATGAGAGAGAGAGCACATGAGAGGGGGGAGGGTCAGAGGGAGAAGCAGACTCCCCGCCGAGCAGGGAGCCCGATGTGGACTCGATCCAGGGACTCCAGGATCATGACCTGAGCCGAAGGCAGTCGCCCAACCAACTGAGCCACCCAGGCGCCCTTAGGCTTACAAATTAAAGAATTATTCATATTCTGAATTAGAACAAATTAAAGAAATTATAATGGGGAGGGGCGCCTGGCTGGCTCAGTCAGTGGAACATGTGACTCTTGATCTAAGCCTCACATTGGTTGTGAGATTACTTAAAAATAAAATCTTAAAAAAATAAAGAAATTATAATGGTATCACTACCACGGCTGTTTATCACTTAATGGAAACATGTTGAATAACAGACTAACATTCTTTTCCCAAAATGGAGAAATTTGTTCAACTCCGTTGCTGCTTTATTCCACTGAACTAACTGTACCTCCCATTTCAGCACCTCATCAGTCTTAGCACTATTACTCTGAATTCTTTATTTAAACAACTCATAGAAAGAAAGTTCCAATTCTGTTCACAGGTGTTATATTAATATTGTTTGTCATTTGCTGAGTATTTGAGCTTGGGTCTGGTACTGTGCCCAGTTACAAAAAAGAAATCACTATTTCTGCCCTTAGGAAGATAAGAGTCCAGTTGCAGAGATAAAATACAAACACACATAAAGTAATCAGAAAACACTTCAAGGCAATATTTAGTGGTAGTGTCCAGTTTTGTGGTATAGTAGTTACATGGTATAGAAGTTGATGTCTAATTATAATTTAAATATGTAAATTAAAACACATTTTAATTTTATATTAAAACTATAATCTGGTAAATGTTGATAATGGTATATACCAAGTACTGGGGAGGGAACAGAGAAGAAAGAGAGGCTGACTGCTTGGGGAGGCGAGTGAGGCTTTGAACAGAGCATTAGGGAAGGAATTGAGATTGGACGGATGAGGTAGGGGTGCTGGAGGTAGACAGGACAGTTCCTTGTGGTCAAGGAAGGCCTTGTTAATGCAGTTGATTTGAGCTCCGAAGTGTAGGAAGAATTTGAGCTACTGGCAATAAGGGGGAAAACACCCTACCTGAGATTTTCTCCATCTCTTCCAGTAGCTTTTCCAAGTCTTTATTCAGGTCTGACAGCATTTTCAGCATGTTGTCATAGTTTCTTTCTCCAGGGTCAGAATCAGCCATCTGGGCAGTGCACAGAAAGAAGACGCAGATTTGAAATAGATGGACGTTTCAATTCCAGCTCTATTTCTCACACCTGGATAGCCCAAGCCAGAAATCTGAGGTCATCTTTTTTTTTTTTTAAGATTTTATTTATTTATTTATTTGAGAGAGAGAGAATGAGAGGTAGAGAGCACGAGAGGGAAGAGGGTCAGAGGGAGAAGCAGACTCCCCGCCGAGCAGGAAGCCCGATGCGGGACTCGATCCCGGGACTCCAGGATCATGACCTGAGCCGAAGGCAGTCGCTTAACCGACTGAGCCACCCAGGCGCCCTGAGGTCATCTTTAATTCCTCCTTATCTTATTTTCCTGACCCAAGGGGTCACTGAAATTCACCCATTTTATTTGTTCATGGAATATTTACTCATCTATGGGTCAAGAAGGCCCAGTGCTTGGGAGTTGCCCGTGAACACTGCCTTTGTGGAACTCATAGCCTAGCCCAGCTCTTTAAAGTCTTTATCCTCCCTCTCTCCAAGGTTGCAGCTCTACTTGAGGTCCATTCTGTTATCCACCATTGAAGAGATTTACTGAGCATCTACTATGTGCCAGACATCTACTATGGCTCTGTAGATACTGTAGTATATTTGTGGATGCAGACAGATAAAACCCATGCTCTCACCGAGCTTCCATTCCAGGGGGAGATACAAATAATAAACAACAGAATGGTAAAGATACCTTTGGTTTGTGGTCACTGCAAAAATAAAACAAAACAGCATGGTTTAATAAAGAGAATCTTTCACGGGGAGGGGTGCTTTAGCTTGTCAACTCAGCTAAGTCCTTTCTAATGAAGCCGCATTTGAACTGATACTTCAATGATAAGCATTTCTTTTAAAAGATTTTATTTTATTTTACTTTACTTATTAGAGAGACAGAGCATGAGCAGGGAGGGGGGGCAGAGGCAGAGGGCCAAGCAGACTCCCCGCTGAGCAGGGAGCTTAATGTGGGGCTCAGTTCCAGGACCCCGAGATCATGACTTGAGCTGAAGGCAAATGCTCAACTGACAGAGCCACCCAGGAGCCCTTGACACTTGAATGATAAAAAGGAATTGGCATGTAAAGAGCTAAGGAAGAGTTCTAGACAGAATGGCTCAAGAAAAGGTGGGAGTGGTGCTCATGTGTTTTAAAGCATGGAAAGAAAGTACAGAATGGGGTCGAGGAGAAAAGTGGTATGAGGTAGATCAGTTCGGTAGGCAAGAATTTTGGTTTTATTTTGAGTGTGAGGAAAAGCCACTGGAAATTGAAAGCGGGGGATTATGTTTTAAGATAATGACTTCAGCTGCCATTTGGAAAATGGACTACTACAGAAGGTTGAGAGGAGGTAAGAGTGGGAGAACCAGTTAGTTAAGGGAGCACTAGAATGGTCTAGAGATGGAAGTAGCTTTGGGCTAGGGTGGTAAGTAATGATATCAATGGTGAAAAGTGGAGGGGTTCAGACTGTATTTTGGAAGATAAGCCAGAAGAATTGGGAAAAGGATCTGATGTGTCTAGGTTTGCAGAGGTAAGTGGTGGTAAGAGAAAAATCAAAATGACTCCTAATTTTGATGAGAACAACTTGATATGAGGTGTTATTAACTGAAGTGGGGAAGACTAAGAGAAGAACGGATTAGAAGGGAAACCAAATACTCGATTTTTTAAAAAAAGTTTTATTTATTTAAGTAATCTCCACCCAATGTGGGGCTTGAACTCACAGCCCTGAGATTAAGAGTCACAGGCTCCACTGACTGAGCCAGCCAGGTCCCCCCCAAATGCTCTATTTTGAATATGTTAACGTGACATGCCTATTAGGCCTCAGAGTAGAGATTCAAATAGGCAGTTGAATATATAGGCCTGGAGTTCGGGAGAAAGGTTGGAGCTAAAAATACAAAGTTTGGAACTAACGTGCATGCTCTCTTCACCTTTCATTTGGACTATTTTCATAAACTCCTAACTGTTCTTCCTGCTTCTGGCTTCATCTTGTCAAATCCATTTTCCAGTTCACCTCCCGAATGACTTTACCTAACATGTAAATCTGACCATGTCACTCTGTTTACAACCCTTCAAGAGCTCCCATTTTCTTTCAGGATAAAACATAACCTCTTTACTACATATATAAGATCCTTTATAATCAAGCTCCTGACTGTTCCCATTCTCATCCAGTTCTGGGTTGTGACCAAATAATTGAAGAAAACCTTAAGAGATCTCAAATTAAAATCTGTAAGAGTTGTGTATTTCCCTGAGACATGATTAAAAAAGATCCATGAAAAAACATAAAACTCTGCAAAGTTAAAAAAATTACAGTTTTCTTATAAAAGAGCTAAAGAAATACAAAATGGAATAAAATCATTCTATCATGTGAAGTGGTTACAAAATCTGTGCAAAGGCAAGAAGTAGATAATGACACAATTCATATCTAAGTTGTGCAGGCTACTTGCTCAATTCATTAATTTATAAGATACCAGTTATAGTCTTTTACCCATACATTCAACACATATTTATTGAGCACTATTTTAGATTCTGAGGATACGGCAGTGAACAAAACAGGTTAAAATTCCTGGTCTCATGGAATTTATAGTCTACTGGTGAGAGAACATAAACAAGATTAATAAGTGAAATAAATATAAGGAGGGGATAAGTACCAAGGACAAAAGTCAACCAGAGATGGAGGGTGGAAGAGTGTGTGTGAAGGGGGTGGCTGCAATTTAAATAAGTGTACAGGCTTGTTGTGATGAGCACAGGGTGTTGTATGGAAGTGTTGAACCACTATATTGTACACCTGAAACTAATATTACACTGTATGTCAACTAACTAGAATTTAAATAAAAACTTAAAACAAAACAAAACAAAGGAGCAAAGGGGGAAAAAAAAAGGGAGAGGTAAACCTCTGTTTAGAAACAGACTCTTAACTATAGAGAACAAACTGACAGTTACCAGAAGGGAGGTGAGTGGGGGGATGGTTTAAATAGGTGATATTTAAGGAGTGTACTTGTGATGAGCACTGAGTCTTGATTAAAAGTGTTGAATCACTATATTGTACACCTGAAAATACAGGTCTTTGAAACTAATATTACACTGTATGTTAACTAAATGGGATTTAAATAAAAACTTAGAAATAAATAAATGTGCTGGGAAGGCCTCGCTGAAGTGATTTTGACCAGAGACTTGCAGGAAGTGAGAGAATGGACCATACAGATATCTGGGAAAAGTGCATCCCAGGCAGAGAAAAGAGTAAGAACAAAGGCCCTGAGCTCGGAGTCAGGTGGATGAGCTGGAGAAAGAGCAACAAAGTCAATATAGTTGGTATAGAGAGAGGGAAGGGGAGAGTAGTGGAAGATGAAGTCAACATATGGGGGGTAGAATTATGGTGGGCCTTGTAGGCCACCAAAAAGACTTTTTCTTTGAGTGAGATAGGAGTCTGGAGGGTGATAATCTGATTTACATGTTGATAAATCACTAGGTTGAGAGTAGCTTGTCTGGACCTGGGTGGAAGCAGGGAGACTAAGAGGCCACTAATGCAGAATAATGCAGGGGAGAGAAAATAACAGTTTGGATTAGCATAGAAATGATGTAAGTAGTATGAAAGAGGATAATTCAGGGTACATTTTGAGGGCAGGGCCAACAAGATTTGCTGAGTCAATGTGGAGTCAGAGATGACACGAAGATTTTTGGCTGGGTAACCAGAAATGGAGATACCATTAACTGAGATGGGGGAAAACTAGAAGACACTGGGTTGTGTGGGGAAGAAAGAACTCAGTTTTGAACATGTTAAGATGCCTATGAGGCATCCAAGTGGGGATGCTGAGTAGGCAACTGGATAAATGAATTCAGAGGGAGACTAGGCTAAAGATAGAAATTTGGGAGTCATCAGCATTCAGGGTTAAGGTTAGGGTTATTTAAGACACGAGAATGGGTGAGGTTAAGGGAGATAATACAGATGGAGAAGAGGTCCATCAAGTTAGGGGAGATGCGAAGGAACCAGCCAAAGAGACTGAGGGAGAGGAGCCAGAGAGGTAGAAGGGGAACCAGTCCTGACTCCTAAGTCAAGTCCAGGCTCTCAGAGAGTCACTGGACCCCAGCTAATGTCCTCTGATCATATGAAATCTCAGCAAGCTGAGAAGACAACTCTAAAGAATTCAAGAGACAGGAACTCCAAAAACTGTATGGGATAAAATAGGTGTTTCCTTAATGAGTGAATAATTTATAATGCTGAGAAGGTGAGGACTTAAGATAGGACATGTTGAAGAGCATAAAAAAGTAGAATTGCTGGGGGACCTGGGTGGCTCGGTCAGTTAAACGTCTGCCTTTGGCTCAGGTCATGATCCCAGGGTCCTGGGATTGAGCCCCGCATCAGGCTCCCTTATCAACGGAGAGTCTGCTTCTCCCTCTCCTCCCTGCTCATGCTCTCTCTTGCTATCTCTTTTGTCTCTCTTTCAAATAAATAAATAAAATCTTTAAAAAAAGTAGAATTCCTGTGAAAATTTGGTATTTTATGCATTTCTATGTTTAAGAGAATTTGGCTTATTAGAGTAACAGGTCAGCTCTGTCATTCTAGTTTAAAATGTGAAAATGATTATGGGTTACAATTTTATTTTTTTAAAGATTTTATTTATTTGAGAGAGAGAGCACACAACTGGGGGGTGGGGGGAGGGGCAGAGGGAAAAGGGGGGCAGCCACCCAGGCACCCCTGATTATGGGTTATAATTTTAAGTCAAAATCTTTGTAACTTTATAAAAAGCTTTAGGACATTTAAGAGAACCTGAAGTTCATCATATTTATGTTTGGCTTATGATATTTATAAGAATTACTTAAGAAAGTAAAAGGTTTGTTGTTAAGACAACTGAGAGTACTTGCAAGACTCTGTAGTGCTCTTCCTGCCTCAATCATGGACACCCACACAGAAATAGGGGCTGCAGGGTCAAAGTAGTCTGGAATGCTGAGCCCCCCCCACATGGAGAGCAACTGTTCTGGAGTCTCCCAGACCTGTGATGGACCTCATGGGAATGGGAATTAAACTTTTGTTAAACCACACACACACACACACACGCACACACGCACACAAAATGAGTTTAAGTTTGTACATGGAACAAAAACATAATATTATTACTATTTAAATTTGTTAGACCTAGAATAAAATTGAGAGTTTAGAATGAGATAATCTTTAGACTAAATAATCTAATAATCTGATTTAGAACATAAACTAAACTTAAATGCTCAAGAAAAACTGGATTTTGGGGGCACCTGGGTGGCTCAGTCCTTAAGTGTCTGCCTTCGGCTCAGGTCATGATCCCAGGGTCCTGGGATCGAGCCCCACATTGGGCTCCCTGCTCAGCGGGGAGCCTGCTTCTCCCTCTCCCACTCCCCCTGCTTGTGTTCTTGGTCTCACTCTCTCTTTCTCTCTGCCAAATGAATAAATAAAATCTAAAAAAAAAAAAGACTGGATTTTTAATATTAGTAACTTTAATAAAATAAATATTAATTTTTAAAACCAAATAAACATTCAAATACTCTTTTCTCTGTCTAAATAATGCCTTTAGAGTCACCAAAGCTCATATTTATCAATATCTAGCCATGTCCTCATATTTACCCTAAGCTTCAGTCATATCCAATATTTGGTAAATTGGGTTATCTACCATATGCCAACCAGCACTACAGAAACTGGGAATTAAAAAATAAATAGGTACTCAGTCCTGCCATCAAGGAATAAGTCTGACAAAAAGAAACCTGTTGTAAAGCAAGATTCTTTGAAGAGCAATAGCCATTCATCCAGATGCCCTTGCTCAGTTTCAAACCAAAGCCTTCTCATATAAAATGGCCCTTATAGCCACGTCATTGAGAACTCTGAAAACTCCACATTCTCCCTTTCCTCCATGTGTTTACATATATTATTCTACTGCCTGAAATACCCTTCCCTCACTCTCTTGTTTTTAAAGACTCAGCTCAAGGGTCACTTCTAGAAGTCTTTCCTCACATTCCCATAGCCAACTCCGAAGGTTGCACCTCTTTTGCATTCCCATAGTTTCTGCACCTCTTCCAGCCAGACACTGTTCTAAGCATTTACATCTTTAGAAGAACCCTAAAAAGTAAGTACTATTATTATTCCAATTTACAGATGAGGAAAACAAGGCTCATAGACATGAACTAAGTTGCCCGAGGTCAGACAGCAAAGACACAGATCTGAGAATTGGGCCCTGAGAATCTGGCTCCGTCTGTGTGCTCACACATTATACTACTGGTATGCAATAAATTCTTGATAAGCACGTGAGTGAACAGAACTAATGAGATGTAGTAAGCAACTAAAGAATAACTTGTGTATACCTTGCAACCCCAGGCTAGAACGCAGGCTCTGCCACATATGGGCTGTGAAAGCCTGGCAAGTTACCCTATCTTCTTAAGTCTCAGCTTCCTCTTCTGTAAAATGGTAATAATAGCTCCTTTGCAGGTTATTGTGAAGATGCACACAGCTATGGGTATAGTAGGCACCCACATTTACCAAATGAAATAGTTGGCATGACTATATGTGTAACACCAGGTACAGACAGAATAGTTGCTCAGAAAATGTTTTACTATAATGAGGTGAGAAAGAGATATGAAGCCAATAATATAAAAGCTAACAATTATTCCATGCTTAATATGTGCCAGGAACTGTGTAAATTCTCAGTGAGCATTAACTGATTTACAACCATGTAACATAGTAAGTGCTACACTCTCCTTGTTGTACAGATAAGGAAACTGAGGATTGTGGAAGAATCTAACGGAAGTCACATAGCCAAACAGTAGTAGAACTGGATTGGAGTGTAGTCCTGATTCTAGAGGTGGAGCTCGTTAGCCTATTTTCTCACAACTGTCTCAGACAATACAGTGGGTGGTTTTGAGCTTGACTGTCAGGAGAGACAAAGGACAAAGAATGGGGGTAGAGGAATGGAATGAAGAGGCTAACAGTGAGCTCAATTTGGGGCAGCTTGAGTGTGTGGTGCCTATGGTGTATCCAGGCAAAGCTATTCAACAAACAGTTGAAATACAGGATTAGAGCCCTAGAGAGAGAGAGTAAACTGAAAATAAAGATTTGATGGTGGTTTAAATTATGGGAAAAGATGAAATCATTCACAGTGAATGTATAAAAGAAGAGAAAATGGACTTGGAAGAAGCCTTAAAAATCAGCCCTTAAAAGCAGAAGGAAACAAACCCATAAAGGACACTGATAAACAGAAATGTAGAGAACTGGGGAGTGGGTAGTTGAGACCAACAGAAGAGAGGAGGGACAGGCCAGTTAATTCATTTAGTCAACAAATATTTATTGACTATCAGGCACTGTTTTAGGTGCTAGGAGTGTATTAGCAAACAAAAGACAATACTTGCCCTTGTAGAGTTGACATTCTGGTCAAGGGAGATAGGCAATAAACACATAAATACAGAAAACGTCAAGCGGTAATAGAAAATAAAACAAAGCTAAGGCAGTTTACAAAATAATGGAGTGGCAAGAACCATTCCATCTATGGTGAACTATGGAAATCCCCTCTGAGAAGGTGAGTCTTCAAACAGATTCAAGAAAGTGAGTGTGTGAGTCCTGTGGATATCTCAGGGAAGAGTTCTATGCAGAGGAAACAGGGATGAAAAAGCCTTGAGGCTAACTGCTTGAGTGTGGTTGGAGAAGAACAAGAAAGCTAGAAATGCAGAGGAATGACGGAGGGCACGATGTTAGGAGATGAGGCTGAGGCTGGGGGAGATATTACAGTTTATATAAGACTGACTTTTATTCTGAGTGAGCTGAGGAGATACTAGAGAAATTTGAGGGAGTGACACGATATTTGAATTATGATTTAAAAGGATTTCTCTGGGAGTGTCCGACTCTTGGTTTCAGCCCAGGTTATGATCTCAGGGTCGTGGGACCAAGCCCTGGGTCAGGCTCCACACTGGGTGTGGGGTCTGCTTATGATTCTCTCTCCCCCTCTGCCCACCAGCCCGGCTTACGCACACGTGCTGTCTCTCTCCAAAACAAACAAATAAATCAAAGGATCACTCTGGCTGCAATGTTGAGAGCAGACTGGGATGGGGATGGTGGAGCAGAGAGGAGGCTGCTGCAGAACTCCAGGTAAGGGATGACGGGGCTTGGACCAGAGTGTTAGAAGTGGCAGTAGTGAGAAGTGACTGGATTCTAAATATGTTGGAAACATGGAGCCAACAGTATGTGCTGACATTCAAGTAGAAATATAAATCTGCAGTGTGGTGAAAAGCCTGGCTGAACATCTGTACTGGGGAGTCACTGGGGTACAGATGGCATTTAAGGCCATGGGACTAGCTGAGATCTCCGGGGAAGTGAGGGTGGATGGAAGGGAGATCTGAGCTCTCCAATGTGTAGAATTTGGGAGGAAGAGGAACCAGCAAAGGAGACTGAAAAGCAGCAGCCAGTGAGCTAGAAGAACCAGGAGAGATCAGTGGAAGCCAAGTCTTGGAAGCCAAGCAAAGAAAGTAAACAAAGAGCGATCAATTGTGTCTCATATAAAGCAGCATAAGGAATAAAAAGTGGATTCGACATGGATTCAACAATCTGAAGGTCACTTGCAAACCTGACAGAAGCTGTTTTCATGGGGTGGCAGGGACAAAAGCCTGACTGCAATGTGTTTAGAGAGAAGGGAAGAGAAGCAAAACTTGTGTGTTCTGGTTCAAAGAGAAGCAGAGAAAGGGCCAGTAGTTGGAATGTAATGTGAAGTTACCGGTGTTTTTTGTTTTTAAATTGGGAGATGTTACACCAATGTCAAATATTACAAAAGGGCCCAATGAATTTAGGACATTTTATTTGGGTGTCAGGTCTCAGTGAGTAACTGAATAACAGTAACAATGACAACAAGATTTCTGTGAATAAAGAATTAATGGAGCATTAAACAAAATAGACAAGCATGCAGATTCAGTTGAGACAGGCAGGAGAAACAGGAGATAGTGACAAGATGATAGAGAGATTTTCTCTTTTTTTAATTTACAAAGGCAGAGACTTGCCTGTCTTTAGGTTTCTATGGAAAGAACTAGTTGAACAGAGAAGGCTGAAATCAAGAGAAAGGGTAACAATGGTGCACGGGCTGGTTTCAGACAGGAAAAAGTCACCTTACCCTCTGAAGGGAAGAGAAGGGTAAGGTAGGGTCCAGGTGGTCCAGGTTCAGGCCTGAGGTCTCTAGCTCACCCACAAATGGCAGTGAACATGTTCTTGGTTTCAGGAGAATGATACAGGTTTGGTAAAGCTGCGCGCCTCACTAGAGGGACTTGGATATGCAGCAGAGAAGCCGTGGTCGTGTGGCTGGGGTCACATGGCTGCACGGGACCCTCAGGACTCTAGGGTAGCACAAAGAAAAGGTATGGAGTGTAGCTGGCTTGGGCTTTTGAAACGTGTGTGGTGGACAGACAAGGTGAGGGCACAGGTAAGAGAGCGGATTAAGAGGTGTGTAAGATGATGGGTGGGGACGAAGCAGAAGCATGGAGACCAAGTCCTTGAGGGGCAGGTGGAATGGGGGTGGACGCTGTGACCAGAGTGATGCTGGCTCTCAGAGGAGGGGTGGGCAGATCCACGGAAAGGGTATGAGCGGGGCAGAGGGAGACCATGCGGTCGGAGCCCATGTCTTTTCCTCCTGATAAGGTTGCTGCAGGGGAGCAAGACTAGGGTGGAAAGGAGCGCTAGACCGGTGCCCATGCCGAAGGGGGTGAGGTAACGGCAGACGAATGGGGTTAGGTGAGCAGAGGCGGTGTGGCAGTGGGAGAGGGTGGCCTTAAGGAGACTGGGTGCGAAGGGCTTGAGGTCACAGGGGTCCTGGGGAATGGAGACTCCAGAGCTGTGCAGGGCTCAGGGCCTGGGGTCCTGGTTGTAGTCTCAGGGTCTTGCCTGGTCTGAAGAGTTTGGTAGAGGCTGGGGTCCCCCTGGAAATTAGAACTGGGAAAGGACAAGAGGGGCTCTTGGGTGGAGATTCCTGGCGGGGGGTGTGTGCGTGAACAGCGCAGGAACAGCACGTGTATGTGTGGTGGGAGTCCTGGGGTCAGAGGAGCAGGAGGCTCTGGGAGCACCCCCAGCGTGTAGATGTCAGGGACTGGCGTGTGTGGGGTGTGGGGTGCAGGTGTTCCAGCTGGGGGAGCAACAGGCCCTACGGGAGAGTCCAGGGCTGGAACGTGCAGCGTGAGGGGTCTGGAGGAAGTGTGGGGTGAGGGGGCCGGGGTGAGGGCAGGGTGTGGGGGATGGGGGAAACTGTGGTGAGGGGGGCGTTGGGGTGGGGTGTGGGGGTGAGGAGCCTGGGGTGAGGAGGGGTG